TCTTGTACCAATACCAGGCTGTTTTGATTATTGTAGCTTTATAATAAAGTTTAAAGTCTGGGAGTGGGATACCTCCCACTTTGTTTTTGTTTTTGCTGAGAATTGTTTTGGCTATTCTTGGTTGTTTATGTTTCCATATGAATTCCTGTGTTGTTTCCAGGTCTGAGAGGAATGCTGCTGGTAATTTAATGGGTATTGTGTTAAATCTGTAGATTGCCTTGGGTAGGGCGGACATCCTAACAATGTTGATTCTTCCAGTCCATGAGCATGGAATATTTTTCCATTCGTTTGTGTCATGAAAGATGATTTTTAATTAATAATTTTCTGATGATTCCATAGCATTTTTTTCCCTAAAATGTTTTAGCCATTCCTGTTTCTTCCTTTGAGGGGATGGTGTGTTCCCGTTATATGCCCATTTTGATGTCTTACTGACTTGTAACTCCTTGTAAAAATAAGACGAGTGCTAACCCTTGTCTTGTGCTTATGACAACTTTTCCCCCGTTTCTGGTTCCTGCATTGTTTGTTGTAACTTAGGCCAGAGTTTCAAATGTATGTGTAGCCGGATATGTCGGTCTTTTCCTTTGGCTTTTATGGAAATAGTTTCTGCTGATACTTGCACAGAGTAAAAAATCCAACCAGGCATGTCTGTTCTTAGTGACTTTAGGAGCCCGGGGAGAAGAAACGAAAGCTGAGCAAGTTGGTAGCTGTGTGGCATGGCGGAAGGACCATGGCGCCAGCTCAAACCCCGCACGACTTGCCACCCGTGGGACCCACTCCACGCCTCTCTGCAGCTGCTCCCCTCACCCGTGTCTCATGGGGAGGACCGCGCAGCGCGAGTCCCTTTCAGCTTTACCGCTGAACCATTTCATGGTGGTGAAATGGGTCTTGGAGGTCAGCGGTGACCATCTGATGAGAGATGACCAGGGAGTATCTCAACTGTCTCAGATGGTGAATTGTTGCGGTGACTGTTGTTGGTATCCCCGGTGTTGACAGAGGAAGAAACTGTCTTGGACTGAAGCAAGGGAAGGTTTGGTTTGCTGTAGAGGACTTTGGGGCTGTTCTGCTGATTAGATCCTGCGTCAGGGCCTGAGAGGGATAGTGGAATCCCCATTCAGAGAAACGGAGCTGACGTTGCCCATGGGCTTGAGGGGGACTTGATGTGGGCGGGGCTGGATGGCCAGGTCCCCAGCACCATGGAAAGGAAGAAGCTGAGGATCCAGAAACCGGCGAGTCTGTTGGGCGTTCTTTCTTCTAAGGTGATTTCCTTGTTCTTTCCATTGAGGAATCAACAAGATAAGGCGGAACCCTGGACTGAAGCGTCATGAGCACAGAGGCCCATTTTGGGGTGGCGTCTTGCTGCTCACCCTGATAAGTGAGATGCATTTCGTACCGTCATTAGCCTCCATTCGATTTACGGGCAGAAAAACCCAAATGGACACTGAGCTTCACGATGCCAGTTGCCGGGCGAGAGGCGTCTCTTGCTTTCACCAGGCAGCCAGCGTGCTCATGTTCTCACCCCGCCTCTGGATGAGCGACTCCCTTGACCCTCAAGGATACAGTCCCCACCCAGGGCAGCAGGGTGGTTCTCCACGCCGCCTGCTGCGGGCATGGTCAGCGTGGCCAGCGGGGCCCTTAAAAACCCCTTGGGGCTGCCACACGCGCCTCTCCACCACTGCGGCCCAACCCCAACAGCACCCTGTACACACTCTGCTGCCACAGAGGTAGACGGGGTTCTTTGGGTCTCAGGGAAGGCATCAGGACTTCGGTCTTGTGACTTCGTTGACTGGCGTTTGTCATTCAAGCTCTGCAAACTCATCCGTGCAGGAGGTTCTAGAAAAGTCCCCGGCGGCAGTATCGCTGAAGTGTTTAACCCTGAGGGTGTGCCTTTGATCAGGACATGCTCATCTGGGTCTAGTAGGTCAGTTCCCCCCTCAACTCCCTAGTCCATGGCAAATCTAGTCCGTTTCTGCTCCTAAATATCTCTCAAGTCGGTCCCTTTCTCCTCGCAGGTGCAGGCCACCAGCCCCCACCTTGACTGGTGCACTTGGCTCTTGGCATGTGTCTCTGTACCCCTCCGGGCCCCTCACCCCCTCCCTCCCGTGACATCTGCCACAAGGACTGGAACCCTCACCTGGCTCACTGGGCCCCACCACGGGCTGTCTTCTCAGCTCCTAGCTCAGCGGTTTAGGGATTAGAAATGCCCATCCCTACAGCGACTATTCCGATCCCCTCATGCCCACATAAGTGCACAGGCCTCTGCTGCAGTCTGGCTCCCCTGCTGGAGGGCGGGGCCAGGCCCAGCTGTCCCAGAGGGCTGGGGAAGCAAGCACTGCCAGGCTGGAGTGCCAGCAGCCTGCCGCCAGGATTAGCTGCCTTTGACCAGCACAGAGATGACTTTCGCCACCCGGAACTGCAGTGGGCGTCACCCTGCTTCCTTCTCTGGCAATAGCCAGTGCAGAGGCCCCAGCCACAGGGCCTGGGGCTTTCTCCTTCCACCTGACATCCATAGCTTCCCGGCTCCATACTCGGAGCCAGGGACGGGAAACCCGGTCTCTCCCGGGAAGTGGCATTGGTGGTTCCGGCGGTAAGGGGCTGGCACCGCACTGGCCACTAGGGCCCACCCACCTTGCTCACACACCGGCCCTATTGCTCCCAGCAGGCTGGTGGAACACCAGCAACACGTGGGAGGCCGTGCTGGGCTCTTGGCTATGCAGCCCAGCCATCCTCACCCCTTCCTGGTCCTGGCCCTCTTGGGATGTCACCTTCAGCCCTAGACTGCCAAGCCTAGCAAGACAGAACCCTGTGCACGCGTGCCGAGTTCACTCAGAAGCCCCGCTGACCCGGAGCTCTCCTGCAAGGCACCCTGTGGTCCCAGTCAGGCCGGGATTCACACATTTCGCGTGCTGATGACGCGTTTGGGAGCAGCCAGCGAGAAAGTCGCCTGTCCGTGTGGAAGCTGCCCCCTGACCGGCGCTGTCCCCTGCCAGCTGGGCCTCTCCACCCCACCAAGCCCAGGACGGTCCTGCTGCTCCCAACAGGCATCAGCAGCGCTGGGACGTCCAGCCTGGAGGCGAGAAACCCAGATGGGATCTGGGCAACATCCGCCTTTTTGTTACTCAGCCCTGACAAGCACAACAAGACAAGAAGCATGACCGCAGCACTTCTACGAGCTGAGGAAGGACCTTCTTGGCTCCAGTGATAGGTCGACCTCCCAACCTCAGTGCTCACCAGGGAAGGCCTGTTTAATGCCCGTGCATGGGCCGTCCTGAACTCTCGAAGGGATCCTGAGGGTGTTTCTAAAGATCAGGCCCAGGAGTGGCTTCCCCGACACTGCCCATGTCCTCGGCCAGAGCCCACCCATGGCCCCAACCTGTACGAGCGGCTGGAGGGCTCTGCCCCCGATAGCCCACAGCCTTGTGACTGACTGCCACCCACAGGCTGCTTCTGGGGACGAGCAGCTTTCATGCACCCCGTTCGTCCTCAGAAACCCAGGGGGGACTGCCGTCAGCTCCCCGCTGCACTGGAGGTGGTCAGTGCTCAGAGATATGAAGACTGAACAGGAGGAGGTTTCGCACGTGGGCTCTGTGCCGCGGTCCTGACCGGTGCTGTCCCACCAGCTGGGCCTCTCCACCTCACCAAGCCCAGGATGGTCCTGCTGCTTCTGTAACACAGGCGTCCTCAGGCACACCTTGTGTCCGTGCCGAGACCTGTAGCCATGTGCACTCAAAAGCAGCACACCTGCACTCCACGGAGTGAGGTGATTCTCGCCCCCCTGCTGCCTGGGAGTGCTGTGAGTGCACCCCTACCTGCTCCCGGCCCCTGCAGGTGAAGGGACTGAAGCTGCCTGCCTATGGGGGCCCGCTGGATCCCCGCAGCCGACGGCCGCAGCCACGGACTCCCCAGCCGTGCTCAAGCCTTGTGCCAAGCCCGCAGGCCCCTGCAGCCTGCCCTTCTCCAGGGACCCAGTCAGCACGCACGATGCCCATTCTGCTTGGCAATCGCGGGAGGACGGCACTTCCTTCAGGAGAGCCCCAGTGCCCCTGAAAGGCACGGGGATGGGACTCTGGGGCCCTGGTGACTCACCACCGTGGAGGTCATGTGGTTCAGGAACACGCCGGACCAGCGGCACTCAGCCTCGGCTACCCTCAGACACCCCGGGATGCCACTCCCCAGACACAGGCTTGGCCGTCCCCAGCTCCCCCGGCGGGTCCGAGGCTGCTAACGGGAGACCCTCCACCAGAATGGATATCCTGCCAGAATCAGCTAGAGTCGCAGCGAAACAAGGGGAAGCAGCAAGATGCCAGGCCCAGCTCCTCGAGGGAGTCAGAGCATTACCGTCACCTTTAGTTCTTCCCACAGCAGATGCAGCCAACGTGAATGGCACCTAACCGCTGAAAGAGGTGCCCAAGCTGAGGGATGGAAGCCCCTCGTGGGAAACAGTCCTTTTCAAAGTGGGTTTGTCTGTTGGGACCAGTTTTTTTCGCCAAGCCATGATCACGTATGTGCCAAGAGATAGTTCTATTAAATCAGAATGCTGTGTAGACATCAGTGGCTGAGTATGGCTGGGGCAAGCGTTGTTCTAAGAGGCCTTGAGCCTTCTGAGCTCTGAGGGGTGGCACTCACATGACGTGGCTTGCGAGGGCTTTCGAATCCGCCCTGTAACCGCGTGTGCCGGGCACGCTTTACTCTAGTACTCGTAAGTGGGGCAGATCTGCTCCCACAGTTTACTCACAAGCTGGAAAGCCAGCCCAGAAACTGACGCTGGCTCGTGTATTTTAAAAAGGCGTCTCCACCGCCCAGAAATGGGGGTGGCCACGCCCCTACTTACCTGGCCACCTCTGAATCTGCTGCCCTCTTCTTGACGAGAAGGCACAGCTGGCTCCCACAGGAGTTTTGTTTTCTTCCAGGAGGTAGAAACTCAAACGTGACGGGGGTGGAGTCCTGGGGACAGCAGGCCAGGACTTTTTGTTGCGACTCGATAAACACTCCTGACAACGCTCTGAACTCATAGATGATTTATTGCCTTAAGTAACTCAACAAGAAACCTGCGTAAGGCCGTCATGATACTTCCCGGACAGCAGAAACACGTGACACACAGCGCACAGGGAAGCAATGTGGCCAATGACATGGATTGAAGGAGCACGTGGCAAGGGCACCCGCAGTCTCAGGCCCCGAAACGGCAGAAGCAACATGTGCTCGTAGAATGTGCTGAATACAAAACCTTTAAAAGAACTTTTTGGCATTAATACTAACACAGAATCCTTTCTTGAACGTTCTGCAAGAGCAGGTGCGGACACAGACTCGCCCTTCTCTTCCGGATGACCGGTATCTAGAGGACACGTGAGAAAAGCCGGGCCGGGGCCTCCCCTCCCCAGGTCGTCTGGTCAAAGCAGCAGGGTCAGCGGGCTGGACTCCGGGGCTTGGCGAGCGTCGCCACGTGGCTGCAGAGCGAAGCAGCCCCAGCAGGGTGTGGAGTGAACCACAGCCCAGGATGTTCCCAGAGTTGACCCGAATGCTCCCGGCGGCCTCGCGGGGTGGACACGGGCACTGGGTGGTCCAGAAGAAACACACCGACCCCTTGCATTCGTTCCCACCCAGGGTCACTGACACTGCTGGGATGGCTGTGTACCAGCCAGCGCTGTCAGGGCCACCCTCCAGCACGGTGGGTGCATGAGGAGAGGCCGGGCCAAGGGCAGCTGACACTCAACACCAGGTGCACCGGCCCCACCACCTGGCAGACGGACCGGGCTACCCGCTCAGCCAGCTAGTTGTCCTCAGCTGTGGCGGGCTCCCCCGCATCCTCCCCAGGCCCCGGGGCCGTGTGTGTGGCGGGCCCATTGTGCACGGGGGATGGCTGCTCGCTGCCCTCCCGCCGCCCGTTTGGTGCGCAGTCGCCTGCATCCCCCGCCTTGGAGGCCAGGCCATCCGCGTCCTTCTCGTCTTCCTGGGCCTGCCGCGTGTCCCTGGCTCCAGGCTTCCCCACGGACTTCCTCTTCTGCCTGCCGCGCATGTCTTCTCGAGAGAATCGCCACTGAAACTGGAAATTGAGAGGCAGTAAGCAACTGGGCGCCCCACCGAGGACACCTCAGTGTCCTCAGGCCAGCATCATACATAGGTGCCCAGTGATGGTGCCCTGTGCACCCCACCCACCCATGCCAGGGCAGTGGTGCCTGTGGCCTGCGGGGCTCCCTGTGGGTGGGGATGTGGGAAGGGGCTCTGAGGTCTCGTCTGAGGGGCTGGGGTGGAGAGTAGCTGTGAGGCCTCCCAGGTGCCGGGCCGTGGCTACTCTCACACATTCCCGGCAGGCTATGAATGGCCATGTGCGGCCTGGCCTGCTCTCACCAGGGCCCGAGTCAGGCAGGGCCCCGACCCCTCAGGCCAAGGCAGACCACCGCCCACAGAGGCCACCCTCCCTTCTAGGGCCACCTGTAGCCCAAGACCAAGCCCTCCGCGGAGCAGCAGCCCGCCCCCCTGCCCAGCGAGGGGCAACACTCAAAGGCCAGCCAGTGCCAGGCCTGCCCGAGGGTCCCACTGCATCCCAGCCTGCCCCACCGCCGCCGGTTTTCCTAAGGGCGCTCCCCCTAGACACCACCTCCACCAAGTTCACCTTGGGCTGCTGCCCAGGGTGGTCTGGTCCACGGCCAGGCACGTCTCACATGACCAGAAGTCAGCAGAGGCCTCATAAGTCTATGGTCACCCTGGGTGAAGGCCAGGGCCACACCAAGCTCTAGGGCGCCAGCCCAGGGTCCCAGCTCCACCATCGCGGCCACATCGCAGCCACAGTTCCTGTCTGCCCTGCAGCACACGGGGGTTTTGGCCTAAGCTGCCACATGGCCTCCCCCTCCCGTCTGTGGCATCACAGCGGTTTCACCAAGGACATCTTAGCCCCTCTGAGAGTGAAGGGAAAAACAGAACTCTCCGCGCCTCGACTTCTTGCTGGGCTGGGAGGCCCAGGTGGCAGCTGTGCCCTCGCGGAAGTGCTTCCTTCTGGCCACATGTTGTCGGTGATGCCGAGTGCCTTGCAGGGAAGACCCCCAGCGTGCCTCATACATTTGACAACTGCCGCCCGGCAGAGTTTTCCGTAGTGGGTCCACCTTGACAGATAAAACGTCGGCCTGAGCGCTCGGGCCCAAGATAACGCATATCATGGGGGCCTTGCGTTTCACTTTCCTGGGCCATGCTGGCAAACTGGACTATTCTGTTAATGCCGAAAAACAAGAAGCAGTAGCCGCGGCGTTAGAATAAACATGTGGCCTCCCCCAAATCCCAGGCGCGTGCGCTGACTTCAGGCGTCATCCTCGATGCCCCTTTCCTGGGACTCTGGCCCTGCAGTGGCAGGCTCCCTCCAGGGATGCTGGGACGCAGCCCACCCAGGCTGTGAGGTCAGCAGTGGCACTGCTCTGCAGGCCAGGGGTGCCTCCGACCCCCTGGGGTGCCCAGCTCAGCCAAGATGCCTCACGGGCTCCTTGAGGCCCTGCAGCCACCAGGGCACGTGACTCTGGCCCCAGCCCTCCCCCGCTTGGGGCTGCCGTGGCTGTGTCCACCGTCCTGCGCTGTGCTGCCGCCACTGCCATGCAGCCCACGGGGCAGAGCCTCCTCATTTCCGATGTCCCCGAGTCATCAGAGCCCTTGGCACCTGACGCCGTCCTCCATGCTTTCAGAAGGGCCAGCTGAGCGGCCTTTGTGATACACTGTTCCAGCGGCATCAGCTGTCAGGGAAGTTGCAGGAGGTTTTACTTGTGCTAAGAAAAGTGGGACTGTCTGGTTGAGAGGCCGAGTGCCACGGGGCCAGAGCCCAGGGTGGGCTCAGCTGGTCCTGCAGCTCCGCTGCCCTCTGGGGCTCCTCCTTTCTGCAGTGGCTGCCCTATCCCCGGGCGGCAGAGGACGCCAGGCCCTCACGCAAGCAATGTACCCCACAGGGGGTGCCGGGCTTTGTGAGCACAGCTCCACCGTGTACCCGAGCTGCTGTCCCGGACACCTGCTCCTCGCTCTGTAGGGTGGGCCATGTGGCCATGGGCCCTCTCGGCCGCTCTCGCTGCATGGCAGCAGCACAGCCCGCTTTCCCCAGAGGTCGGACCCCTTCCGTGCCTGCAGACCACATGCCGTTGACCTGACACAGTGCGACAGGAGTACACAACTGCGGGAAGGGCTGGTGGCCCACATGCCAGACACCTTCTCCAGGAGCCTGCCAGGCTGTCGGGGCGGGCTGGGTGGGAACTTGGTCCTTCAGTCATCACAGGAGATGCCTTCGGGAACCACACCATCGCCCGTGTCCTCAGGTGGGTCTGTGATGTCCTCAGTGGCTCCCGGTGCTGCCTGGGCCCTCTCCTAATGGCTGTCACTGTGCTGCAGCCAGGAGGACCCCCCCGGGAGGCTCCAACCCCAGCTGTCCCTCCTCTGCATGGGGGTTCTCAGGAAGCAGGGAGGCGCAGGAGCCACAACTCAGTGACTGTGGGAACCAGAAGCCGATGGCACAGGGCTGCCTCCGGACGCCGCCCGGGAGTCAGAGCACACCGAGGTGTCCAGCCTGCGCCTCACGGTTCCCTGGACTCCCAGAGCAAGACTCCCAACAGGTGCTGTCGATGCCGTTCCAAAGGGGAGCCCACAGAAGCTCAAAGGGGCTGCACAGCTTGCCCAGAGTCTCAGCCGGCAAAGAGCACAGCTGAACTCCAACTGGCATTTCTCAGCCACACTGCCCTTCCAGGCCCGGCTCTGGGTGGGAGGCGCCGGCCTCCCGCTCCAGAGAGAAGCTGGTGAGGAGGCCACGCCTGTGGGATGGTCCCCCAATGCAGAGGCACTTCGGCCCAGGCTGCGTGATGGCGACAGCAGGATGTCTCTGCAGACCCACTGCTGACTAGGGCTGAGTGGGCAGCCGCGGAAGTCCAGGTTCAGCTGCTGTCAAGAGGCTGGTTCTCTTGCTCCAAATGTCCACACCAAAGGCTCCCTGACGGGCCCATCTTGGAAAGTCAGTTCTGAGCCACTGAGCGGCGGGGAGCTGGGAAAGGCCCAACCAACCATCAGCTGAGACCTGGCCTCAGCCGAGGGCGTGGGGGCCCCCAAGGGCCGTCAGGGCACAGGTCACGCGCACACACCCTGTCCGAGCTGGGAGGGGTGGGAGACAGGAATCTGCCAGGAGGTGCTGCTGTCGCTGGCCCCTGGTCCGCCCTGCCCAGGCAGCCAACTCAGAGAATGCCTGCGTGCCCTCCAGCTGCTGGGGAACAGCTAGGAGAAAACACGGCCTCCTCAGCCCCCTCCCAGCCCCGCCCTCTACGGGGGCC